ACAGTTCCTGTTCCCCTCACTGTCCCTGAGGGCCAGTCCTAGCCTGGCTCCCAGTCAACCCTCCCTCCTCACTGAGAGATTCTGAAAACCTTCCAGAAGCTCCTTTTGGCCAATCGTCTCAGACGGTACTGGGTCCACGACGGCGTAGCTTAGGGATGTTGTTCTCTGTAACACAGAAAAGCCTAGAATATGGCACCCCATCTGTGCTGTTTGTAAGTTTCACCTGGCCCGGTACCCAGTCCTCATGGCTCTGACCGCACTCGAGAACTGTCCCTTGCAACTGAGCCAGGTGTGGTGGCTCAAGCCTATCACCCTGCACCTGAGAGGCTGAGGCAGGAAGAAGGGGAGTTCAAGGCCAGCCTGGACAACTCTCCCCCTACACACCAGAAAAAAGTCCCCAAAGATCACCAGCTCCTTCCAGGCAGAATCCCAGCCTCTCTGGATTCACCGTGAACACAGGAGGGGAGGATCCAGAAAATTCCCTCACCGGGAGCTTTCCAGAGTCAATGTGGCCAACCAACTTACCCACTCCTTAAAGTGTTTATTCAACAGAGAAGAAACTGGATGAACACAGCATGGGGGGTGACCTGTCTCCCCAAAGTCCTCTACTGGCTGAGAACCCGGTCTGTCACTGGTCCAGTGTAAGGGCCAAGATGCCCCACCCTTCGCTCGTGAACTCAATTCTTAAAGTCCAGGATGCTTACTTTCTTTTACTTTTTGGTTTTTTCTTGAGACTCCTGCTGTACAGCCCAGGCTGGTCTCAAACTCAGGCTCTTCCTGCCTCAGCAATTCTGCTGGGACTGCACGTGAGCCCGCTCCAAGCTGCCTGCTCCAAGCTGCCCACCCCTGCACTGTATCAGGAAACGAGGTTCTTCACAATGATGACAATAAAGCGAGGTCCCAACACGGACCTTCATCTGTGTGGCTACTGTCCTCCTGGGGGGAAGTAGGACACACGGACAGGCTCAGAGGAAGATGACAGGAGACAAAGAGGGAAGAGGGGGCCACCCAGGAGCCTCGGGTAGATTACCACGCAACCCGTCCTTGGTCTTGGACTCCTGGCCGTCAGAACCTCGTGGCAGTCAAGCCCTGTGGGTTGTCCATCCAGTCTGTGGCAGACGCAAGCCTGTCAGCATCAGCTCTAGCTTGACTCCACCTCACACGTACACACATGTGCGTACGACATCATGAGTCAACTCTGCCAGCTTATTCATCACCCCACAATCCTCCAGGCTGAACCCCTGAATCACTTCTCAGGGATCCCTGACTAGGAAATGAGCAGATCCCTAGCTCATAGGCTGCATTTTTCCAACGTGCCTAATCGTGGAGGCTTTTCCCAGCCAAAGTGGAGAGCAGTGCAGAGACAAGGCCCTTTGTTCTGCCCCTCCGGGGACCACGAGGGCAAAAGAGAAGGGCCTGTCTTGCTCTGTGAGGAGGCCACGCCTGGGCCTGGCTGAATGGTGGGCCGGGCAGGGGCTGCCTGGCACAGCTGGGTTGGGGACCTCAAAGACACAAAGGCCTGGCAGGTGGGACACGGTATGGGGGGGGGGGCACATCTGAGAGAGGATCATCAGTTGACGTGCCCCAGAGTGGACGACCTTCCCCCACTGAGGTGAAGCAACTATGTCATGGTCATTGGGGAGGGAGGGGTCAAAAGGAACAGGCAGGAAGAGGGACAGACAGCAAGGGACACACACACAAACTCCCAAAGAACTTCAGCAGTGTGGGAAAGGATGGGTACCTTGGGGGCCTAGGCCCATGGAGGAGATAACGCACTTTATCAGAGGCATAGCAATCAGACAACCCCCGAGAATGGAGTCTGGTACAGCTAATCTAGCAAGAAAAGTGACAGTTTGTTTCCAGATGGGGACAGAGTCTCCAGAAGCTCAGGTCAGTGATGAGACAAGGGCAAGAGAGACAATGGCCCTGCTGTGCCTGCCAGGCTGCCTCATCTCACCCACCTGCCCTAGTCCCTCCTGGGTGATCCCTCCTCCCACCCAGCAGCCAGCAAATCTAGCACCCAAGGTCTCCCCACCTCTCCCCCGACTCCTGCAGATGCCACAAAGGGCTGCGGCCATATTCTCTCACCTTGGGTCCATTCTATGGAGCCCACACCACATCACACCACCTGCCTTCATCTTAGGTTACTATCCTCGAGGTGATGTGAGCCAGAGACACCACAGCATCATAGGGTGGACAAGGTGGCCCGGGGAGCCAAGAAGGACCCCACACCAGATGTCAGGACAGTTTGCAGCTAAGTGTGGATTAGGGGCTATTGTAGAGGGTTGGGGTTCAAGGACTTTGTTGACATTTTGCTCTTTTGGGGTGCTGGGGAAGCCTGCACCTTGCATGTGCTAAGAGCTAGAGCACAGGCCTAGCCTTCCAGTCATGTTTCCTGGTTCTAGAAAAAGTCTAGGGATCCATCTTCAAAGCCAGAACCTGCCTGAGTCCATTTTGGGAAATTGGAACAAAGACCCTCTCCTGGTCTGGTGGTTGCCTGGAAAAGACAGCCGAGACAAACAGAAGCAGGGGTCACAGGAAGTGTGCCAAAGAGCAAAGCGATGGGGTCTCTGCTCCTGTCATTGTGGGTTCATCACTGACATGGCTTTCCATGTTTGGTTGGGGGCCAGCCACCTCTTCTAAGGAAACGTAACAGACTCCACTCACCCCAAGCCTCATTCTTGGTGTCCCCAATTCTGCCCCTGTGATAGCCTATCCCACCTGTCACTGTCAGGGCTTGCCGGATGGGAGTATCATTCTCTCTATGAAAAGGGACAGTAGCTGTTCCTCTGAGGCACAAGGAGATCTCAGCTCTGCTCTCAGGAGGCGGCCAAGCACTTGGCACAACCAGCTCTTCCTCAGTTAGACTTTGGACCCATCCAGCATGTGCCACTGCAGAGAGGTGAGGGAGGGGAAGCCTCTTGTCTGGAAGGGTGTCAAGCCAGGAGTCCTGAGTCCCCAAATGACGCACATGGTCACCAGCTAGACTTGAGAGAAGGTTTTACCTGACCAGGAGGAGGTCGAAGCCATAGCTTTGTATTCTGTGCAAGCATACTGGACACCTGGCTGGGGGTGTGGCTCCTTGGTGGTACAACTTATCCAGCATGCATGTGTAAGGCTCTAAGTTCCATGCCCAGGACTGCAGGGCAGGAGACAGAGAAAAGTCAGGGCTGCATAAAACCAAAGGGTATGTACCAGAGACACAAAAGTTAATAGGTGGGCTTAGTTAGCTCTTGAAAAAGGCTGACGTAGCCCAATCCAGTCACTGTGCAGAGGAGGAAACAGCAAGAGTGTTGCACCAGACACAAGGCACTTCCCCCAGGAGACCCCCACGGAGTCACGTGCTGAGTGCACAGAGAAAATCACATGGCCGTGGCATAGGAAGATTCAGGGCCTCCCTGGGGTCTCCAGACCCAAGCAGTCTTTGACATTGCAAGAGGCATGACTGGACAGTGTGCCCTGAAGCAAGCTAAGCTGAAAGCTTTCTTCCAGAGCATTCTGGAAGTGAATAGGGCAGTCATGTCTCTGAGACTTTCTTTATATTCAGATTCGTGTACCAAACAGAGCTCTAAACCTGGCCTTCCTTCTGCAAGCACACAGCAGATCCAGGCAATGGGGGAGGGAAAAGGAGCAAGTCATGCCAATCAAAACTAGGCAGCTCCAGGCCTCTGTAGGAGCAGACAGGCCCGGGACAACAACTTTACAGTTGCCCATGACATCTCCAGCCATTCCTGGACACCTTAAGGTTCTGGAGTCTCCAAGACCAGACAATACTCAAGGGAAGGAAGGAGCTGTGATGCGAGAGGCTGCCAGGTGGGTATCCTGAATGCCGGCACCCAAGCTAAAGAGGCACAAACAGGCCTCCCCTATGAAGCCCTGGAGCTGGGAGACCCCAGAAAAAGAAGGGAGGGCTTGCTGGCAGCTGTGCTTCCCTGGGGCTGGGCTCACAACCACTGCCGGGGGACACATTTCCTGTATGTCGTTTTTACCCATTTAAGTCAAAGGATGCGACTCTCTTGAGAGCGTGGCTTCCACCCTATGCAGCTCCCTCCCTTCTGAAACGCAGTTCGGAGTGTTAGAACTTCTCCCTAGCTCCCCTAGAACCCAGCCAGTCCTTTCTTGAGCGGAAAGCGATGCGCGTTCCAGAGTAGAGAGACAGACCCAGAGGGCGCTGGGACTCGCCCGCGGATCACCCAGCTGTCGGGGTGTGAAGTCAGGAAGATGAATCAAGAAGGGGAAGGCGGGGGCGAGCCTCCAGAGGCTGCACCCCGTCATCTCCGGGGCCGCTGGAGCCCTTTCCTCCTCCTCAGGCCCTCTTTGGGGCTGTTATTGCGTGGCTTTCCAGGCCCATCCTTTGCACGCTCCACTCCCAATAGCGGGCTACCGCAGACCTTGTCCCGTTCTCTGAGCGCGCGGGGACCTCGCTGACACCCGAGGGCTCGCACTGCATTTTTAGACGCTTCTCTCCCTAGCCTGGGCCCTCGGCTCCGCCTCCCTGGCCTCCCCGGTTTCCTGAGACCCCCCAGTTGCCACCTCAGCCACGTCCTCTCGGCAGCCGCTGCTCAAAGGCGCCGTCTAGCCCCGTAAGCCCGCCAGCCTCGTCCCCATCAGCCTCCTCGCGACCAGCACCAA